TAAATGAAATTCCTTGATATTAGAATGAAAATCAATAGAGGAATGTTGTGAATCAGTCGTCTCTGTGGCGCAATCGGTTAGCGCGTTCGGCTGTTAACCGAAAGGTTGGTGGTTCAAATCCACCCAGGGACGAAATACCTCATTTTACCTTTTGTTTAACGCTTTGTACTCAGTTGTATAATATAATGTAGGAAAGTAAGGAATTTCTATGAAGTATACATTCTAAATGCACAGCGTGCAAAAAAGTTTGAAAAACCAAGTGATCCATTCGACGTTTACATTCTATTACAAATTGCTTATGAGTTTATAGTGAAACAACAATTGAACAATTAAAAGAAAAATATCTGGCTAATAATCTGCGGACTATTTCAGACAAAAGACTTTTACGAAACGGATATTACTACAGTAATCTTTTCTTAAACACATTCATGTCATATCTCGATGTTCCGCACCAACTCTAAATGTGAAACCGGTAAATAGCTGTAAATGAAATTCCTTGATAGTTAGAATGAAAATCAATTGAGGAATGTTGTGAATCAGTCGTCTCTGTGGCGCAATCGGTTAGCGCGTTCGGCTGTTAACCGAAAGGTTGGTGGTTTAAATCCACCCAGGGACGAAATACCTGATTTGACCTTTTGTTTAACGCTTTGTACTCAGTTGTATAATATATTGTAAGAAAGTAAGGAATTTCTATGAAGTATACTTTCTAAATGCACAGCGTGCAAAAAAGTTTGAAAAACCAAGTGATCCATTCGACGTTTACATTTGATTACAAATTGCTTATGAGTTTATAAAAAAACAACAATTGAACAATTAAAAAAAAAAGATCTGGCTAATAATCTGCGGACTATTTCAGACAAAAGACTTTTACGAAACGGATATTACTACATAATTTTTTCCCACATTCATGTCATATCTCGATGTTCCAACACCAACCCTAGAACACAACGTGGGCAGAGTTGGTGTGGATGGAATCGGCCAGCGACCAACAACCAGCTCAGACCAGCGAAGAATTAGCCATGTGATTAAAACGTTGTCCTTAGCCAAAGAGGACCGGACCACTAAATCTGGTTATACTACCGGGTGTAGGCGGCGGTATAGGATATTTTTGTAACAGTTCAGTACTACTTTCTTTATTTCTCACAAAACCCTTTTTTACTTTGCTAATTTGGTTCTTCTTTGAAAATTTGATCTCCTTTGAACTACAAAAATCTACTTTCGCAGCCAGCGATAAGACTCGTTGTGTAATTTATCATCCCCTTCTGCTGCTTAACCACCTTCTGCTTTGAAATGTGAATACATTCTGATTCTTATCTGCTAGACCTTTTCTTTATATAAAAAAAATGAAAAGGCTCCTGACAGACCTTAACTTCAACATTTACGCTTTTTATTGCACAATAAATACAAATAGAACATATTTTTTTAAATAAAAATAATGAATTTAAAACAGAAATAACTTTGGCGGTTCTTTAACCGCCAATTCTAAATGTAGGTTACACTGTAGGTTACACAGTAGGTTACACTGTAGGTTACACGGTAGGTTTATAAAAAAAAATGTAACATTTTTTTTATAAAACTTCTGGCATTCTTTAAAATACACTTCTGTAAAAAGTACGAGTAATAGACAAAACTAGAGGATTATAATATTTATTTGTTTACAGATTTTAGTTGATAATTCATTTTAATTATTTAATATTATTAACTAACTAGCAGCATGACCCGGCGTTGCCCGTGCTTGATTAAAAAATCGTACGTCTCATACAGCAATCGCTATCACTTGACTTAAAATATTTTGGCCCTTCCTTGCCTTTAAAGGAGTGCCCTTCGCCGTGCTGATGTTGCTACATGCCTTACTTCTTGCCTATCTCACACTGCGATTTTTTCTAAGCTCTATACTAAACATTAAATCTGTTACGAAAAATGAACTAAACAAAATGAACACAAAACGATCAGCTTTAAAAAAGGACTCGTAACTGGAAAAACCAAATGAAAAAAGAATGTTAACAACAAATACTTTTTCACACCCAACCCAGTTCTGCGGAATCAGAATCAACGTTGAGTTTAAGCAAGCGAATGAGCCAATTGGAGTAAAGTGCCATGCAGATTTAAATTTTTCCCACTTGTGACGAATGCAGCTACCGATTTTTTTTGCATGCTAGCATGCTAGTTAACATTTTTGTCAGTCAGCTGTTGGCTCACACGCTGGCCAGTAGAATCTTCCTGCCTATTCGTGGCAGCCAGCTATAGGCTCTACTCTGGCCAGTAGAAAATGGCCGCAAACTACATGAAAACTTCCGTAGAAGCATGAAAAAAATCGATTATTTCCACTATCGATGGGAGTTGGGAAATGCCTTCCCGCTAACTTGGAGCATGTGCATGTAAATTTTGGTGCAAATCCGTCGAAAATTGCGGCCGTGCATTCGTTACACACACACACACACAAACACACACACACACACACACACACACATATACATCCTGCCTTTTATAGATAGAGATAATTTTTTTATATATAAAAGTTGCATTCAAAAAAAGCTAAGCTAATTATTAAGAAACAAGAAATTTCGTTAGAAACAAACAAAAGAGTACTGAACAGTTACATAATATTTCTAGGGCACATAATGGGGAAATAGAGGTTGGAAAATTTGATACTCACAGGACAGCTTGAAAGCAAGAGGAACAGAAGAAAACAACGCATAACCTACCTAGTGAGCTTAAATAAATGGATAGTAGAATAGTGTTTAGGAGAAATAACAAAGAGAAAATTTACTAAGAAAAAGAAATTGTGGAGAGCCATATTTGCCAACGTTCCGTAGGGACACGTCACATAGAAAAAGTAGAAGAAAAAGTATTTAAAATCAAAACAAACGTCGGATCTAACGACGGTTCCCTTTACCCAGGAGGATGCAGGTTCGAATCTTGCCGGAGAGCGCATATTTTTCTTTAATAAAATTTCTCTAATATTCAGGCGAATGTAGAATAGTATAAAAAAAAAAACGTTTATTTTATGAGAGGGGTAAATAAAAAAAGATATAAAATCATGGCTGATGCTAACCACCGGAGAGTGACTCTTCGCACATTCTCGGGCTAAATTTCTCAGCAGATATGAAATGGAAAGATTATATCGAATCCATTGCTAGGTTAGCTGCTAAAAATGTTGGTTCACCATGTCGTGCTAGACAATTTTTTCTCTCCAGAATTTATCTTACATATCTATAAGTCTGCCAGTCGTCCATGCTTAGAATATTGCAGCTACATATGCTCTTGCTATATATCTAGACATCCTTGATAAACTCCACATAAGAATCGGCAATATTATTGGTTCTGATCTGGCGTCTCGGCTTCAATCATTTTCCCACCGTCGTAAAGTTGCATCCTTGTACCTTTTGTTTTTTATAAATACTTTCATGACAACTGTTCGGATGAGCTCTTCGCATTTTTCAAATTGTTGTTTTAACACAGACAATGAATTCTACATATGGGGACAAGTTAGGACTTTCATAGAGACAATGAGGTATTATGGTGGATGTAGTAAGAAAGGTAAGTAAGAATGCGTTGTTTTGGTGTTAGGAATATTGTTTGTATGTTTGGGTCAGTGTTTGTGGCTAGCTAAGTTTAAAGTTAAGACAGATGAAGACCGTCCTTTTCCCAATTCCCCACTTTGGCCTTGTGCCGCATTTTGTAAATATTTACAAATAAATATCACTCTTCGCTATGGTACCTAGACTTTATGAATTTAAGCGCACTACTAGACCGACGACTAATTTACAGTTGAGTTTAGCTGATTGCAACCGTAAGTTCTATGCTAACAGTTTCTTGCTTTTGGAACTCTTTTTCGACTCCATGCTTTCCAGGGAAATTTAAACTTCAAAAATTTAAATGCTATCTACTGTCCTCCTGATTATTTTTCTTTTGCCCTTGCTCCTTGGTAATGTTTATCTTTTTTTCTAATTCTTCCGCACGCAGTAGCGTCTTCTTCTTTGTGCCTTGGTGCCTTTACGGAACACGATTAAAATAAATTAAAATAATAAAAAGAAATCTTTAAAACTTAATATGACTTAACCCCCAAGTTTAACACCTCATTTAGCCACTCCTTCTCCATTTCTTATTTTGTGGCGTACCACTTATTAAAAGTATATTAAAAATGCGACAGAACTTTCTGAACACATGGAAATAGTCATTTCAATGCAAGGGAAGTAACTGCGTATATCATTAAGCATCTTTTTTTTTCACAATGAACAGGAGGAGAAATAAAATTAAAGCGCCAGGATGTCCCTCTCACAAACCAAATGTATTACATTCGATCCTTAGGAGGCGTCTTACTTTGCTGACCTTGTGCCAGACTAAGCTCAAGTGGGTGAATTGATGCCTTATAATAACTTAATAACTATTTCCAATTACCTCCAGAAGTCGGTGTTCGAACTCAGGCAAAATTTCTTAATTTGAAATGCTGATTTTCAAGGCATGAACACCCGTTACTACTTTTCCAAGGAGTGCTACACAGTTTCCCCACTCTTTTATTCATTTAATGCCATCTCAATTCGGGACATCGGTGTCCATGGCTCTCCACAATTTCTTTTTCTTTCTTATCAGTGAATTACCACGATGTGATATAGTTTCCTTTCATTTTCTCTATCGTTTTGAATTCAGAATTCTTTTCTGCCTTGTCTTTATCCTAGACTAGCTGCCGTCCACTGGCTGCTACTAGACCCCACACTAACCTGCTATTTAACCCATAGCTGGGGGAGACGAAATTGATTCTTGTCTTTTCCAAAAGCATTTCTGCAAAATGAACACAACAGACCATTCTGTAACTAAAACTTGGTCTACAGATTTTTTTTTTCTAATCATTTAATAACTGAGGAGAGGAGAAGTGGATTCATACCATTTCCAATGGTATTTGCTCATAAGTGACTATAAAGAACCCAACTGAAACTGAACCTCGGCTCTCCAATTAGCAATTCCGAGCCATTATCCATTGCACCACCCGCACATCCAAGCTTACAGCATCTGGTATTCACAACCGGTCACCCATCTAGGTACTGACCAGGCTCGACATTGCTCAACTTTGGTGATCGTATGGGAGTCAGTGTTTTCACATGGTATATCCATAAGCCATATAAAAGAACAGGTTTCAGGAAGACAGCAGAGGGCAATTGACGGTGCATTTTAAATTTTTGAAGATTGTATTGCGGCAGCGAAACAAGAAATCGGAAGGGAGTTCCACAAGATATAAATGTGAGAAGAAGAAACTATTAGAATAGAACTTACGGTTACATTTTCGCTATTTCAACAGCAAACCAATGAGACCTTGTTGTCAGTCTTAAATTCATACAGTCAAGATACTAAGGAGAAGAGCTCGTTAGAAAAGGTGCCATAGAAATATTTATAGAAAAGACAGAGGGAAGTCATGAATGGAATGTGACTTAAATAGAGATGACAGATGAAGAACCAATTACTTTACAAACCCTTCTTTGGATTTTGCTAAGAATCTCGAGATATATAACAGATGCTAAATCGGTTGGGTTTCGATACTGGCTTGAGGCAATCGGATGTCTAACCACACTGATGAGCTGTGATACAGCGAAACAGTCTGTCTGTGGATCACACACACACACACACCACACACCACACACACACATACATACATACATACATACATATATATATATATATATATATATATATATATATATATATATATATATATATTGATGCTAAGTTTGTCTAGTTTATGTGAATTTTCTTTAAATTCTTTTCATATCGTCTGGTAAGCTTAATAGCATTATCATTAAAAGAAGAAAGAAAATCACAATACTGATACATATTTTTTAATCCTATCTAAGCTTTCGGCTTATCATAGATGCCAATTACATTACAATATATTAAACAATACACGGACAAAACAATAATGATAGTTTGTTTTTGTTTACATGGAAGATTTCCAAGCAACGACAAACTCGTGCATATTTTATTTTGCCTTTTCACAAGGCTACATTTATAATTCCAAGTGTTGAGAGTTTGGTGGGCTGCTGGATCATGTAATTTACATTGTGTGTATTTATATATCAATATTGTGATTTTCTTTCTTCTTTTAATGATAATGCTATTAGGTTTATCAGACGATATGAAAAGAATTTACCTAAAATAGATAGACAAAACGTGTCTATATTATTTAATGAAACATGCATCAATGAAAAAATGCTGCTTAAATACACACACAATATATATATATATATATATATATATATATATATATATATATATATATATATATATTGATCTAATTAATGTCATACTTAAAAAAGAGAAAATAAGTTTCTTGAGAGTGCGGCTATCGAATCTTGCCAAAATCTTAACCTGCACGCTGGATTATTCCAAATATCTCCTTTCATAAAAGAAATACTCCTTTCCCAACCCAACATACATAACCATAAAATTTAAGAAAAATAAAAGAATACTTTTAATCAAAATCTTTTATTATTTAAAATAAATACATAAATAATTTATGAAATTAAAATAAAATAGTACGTAATAATTATATTAATAAAAAAAATTAAATATATATATACATATTTATATAAACAAATAAGAAAATCGACCACGACAATAACAACATTTGCTCACTTTCGTTTATTAGGCATCAGATTACATTACTTTGATTTTTTGTACGGTTTATCAACCCTTTGCAAGTTATCTACGATCAGAAAATATTTTCTAGAGTGTAAGAAATTTTTCTAAATAATACTGATTTACTGATACAAGTTATAATGATTAACCCAAAGCTGGGTGAGATTGGATTCATACCTTTCTCAATAGTATTTGCGCGTAAGTGAATATAACTAGCTCTACTGGAATTTCCAATTCTGAGCCATTTTCCATTACACAACCAGCACATCCAAGGTTACTGCGCCTAGTATTCTCAAGTAGTTACTCATTTAAGTATTGACCAGGCTCACCAAAAAGACTGGTACATGGATGTCTCATCAGCGGACATAAACCGTAGCAACAGATGCTACACAAATAATACTGCATTTTTGGCAAATTCAGAAAGAATACTAAAATAACTATGGGACAAGAAAGGAACGAAAGCAAAAAGAAAGAATTAAGCATTAATTGTAAGACAGAATGAATGGTTGTCAGCGAAAGAGACAATTCAAATTGTGAGTTACGTATTGTAGAGGACAAAATCAAGTTTAGAAATTTAACTATCATCCCCAATATAACTCATTCATTCATACTTACTTTGAATATTGCTGTCACATCTGGTCTGATGCTCCCGCTATATATTTAAAAATTCTTGATAAAATCTAAAGAAGAATTTGCAATGTTATTGGTCCTGACCTGGCATCTCAGTTTCAGTACATTTTCCACCGCCCGAATGCGGTTTCCTTAATAAATATTTTCATGGTGATTGTTCTGATGAACTTTCCTCTATGATGCCTAGACTTTATGAATTTAAACGCAGTACTAGATTAGCGGCAAAGTATCATCATTTTACAGTTAAAATGGCTAAATCTAAACGTACGTTCTATGCTAAGAGTTTCTTCTCTCGCACTTCTCACTTGTGGAATTCTCTTCCAGCTTTTTGCTTCCCAGTCAACTCTGATCTTCAAAAATTTAATGCAATGTCAATCGTTACTTCCTGTCTTCTTAATACTTGTTCTTTTATTTTCCTTTCTCCTTAATAGTAGTTTTCCTCGTAATTTTCGAACTCTTGCGTCCTAGCGGCTTTATTGCCTTGCTGTGGGTGAAATGATTTTTTTAAAAGTGCAGAAATTTAAATGAGTAGTGTAGTAGCAGAAGATAGAAAGTGTAGAAAGGAATTCCAAAGTTGCATTGGGATTCAACAACAACAATAAAATAATAATAATAATAATAATAATAATAATAATAATAATAAGAATTTTCACTAGAATTTTCAGGCAAATATCATACATAATAATGATCCAAAATGCAGGTTCTGTGACAAATACCAAGAAACAATAATCTAATCTCAGGATGTTCTATACTTGCCCCAAATGAATATAAAAATCGTCACGATAGAGTGGGGCAATACTTACACTGGACAATGTGCAAACACTTTGGAAAATGTGTAAGCAAACACTGGTATGAACATCGGCCAGCGCCGGTTACAGAAATAAAGATGTCACCATTCTATGGGATTATACCATCCACACAGACAGAAAAATTGAAGCAAATAGGCCGGACATTTTGTCAAAAACCAGAAAAAAAAACTTGCCTACTAATTGATATGGCTTGTCCAAAAACAACATAGCAACCAAGGAATTTGAAAAACTATCAAAATACAAAGACCTGGAAATTGAAATAGAAAAAATGTGAAATTGAAAAACAAGAATAATACCAGTGGTAATATATTTGAGAATTATAAAAATGAACAAACAACACATTGAAAGAATCCCTGAAACCCCAGCTTAAGAGACATACAGAAAATTGATTAAAGAAAACAACTATGTAACGCTAGCAACTTCAGATATAAAAAAAAAAAAAAAAAATTAACATGAAATAATATAATAATCTTTCCGCAGACTTGGTAAGTGTGTCCATAAAATGATGATGATGATAATAATAATAATAATAATAATAATTGCAGCTCAGGACCAAAGCCTCGGATCCTATCACTGTTATATAATCAAGGATAACCCGAAATGCAGGATCTGCGGAAAATTGGATGAAACTGTCGACCATATTATCTCAGGATGTCCGGAACTGGCAAAAAATGAATATACCCACAGACATAAAAAGGCAGCGACATATGTTCACTGGAAGATATGCAAGAAGCACAAAATCGAAACCACTGAGAGATGGTATAACTGACAACCAGACACCCAAAATAACGTTGTAACTATCCTCTGGAACATGCCAATTCAAACTGACGGGGAAATAAAAGCCAACAGACCTGATATTATCATAAAAGATCAGAAATTCAGGAAGTATATGCTTAGTAACATAGCAGTACCATCTGAGAAAAACACCTCCATAAAAATTATCAAGAAATTGTCCAAATACAAGGACCTGTAGATTGAGATTAACAATTCGCCGACAAAGTCCCATTGAAGGAGAACCCGGGACAATGGTAGAAGGCGTGTGCAGCCGTTTCTTCTAAACCAAGGTCACATCGTTCGCAGTCTGGCAAATCCACCAAGCTCTATATGAAGGCCTTGTCATTGAGAGATAGCCTATTCCGAGCCAGTCACCAGGTAAGAGAAAACTCACAGTTGCTGAGGTAATCCGCCTAATGTATTTCTGCTCAACTCCTCTTAACTCCGCTTATTCACATAAACGGACGATTCATTTATGTCCTCCATTACAACGTGCGACAACAAAAATTTAATTTCCTTTTCATTTTAAAGGCTATGCAAAAATTCGAGGTAAGAAAAACACAGAAATTTCTTGTATTTTCTAACTAAATTATTTAGACACTCATTGTACACATCTACAAAAAAAAAAAAAAAAAATGAAAGAAAAATGTATACATTTTACTTTTACTTATTCGTTATCTTATCTTTCTGTCGGATTCAAATCCATATAATTTGATCTACAATTTGATCCCAGACTTACAGTTTTACTCAGTATTACCGTCTGTCGTGACTCCAACACTACATAACCACCAGATAAAAAATAATACTCATTTTATTGTTTCCACGTCTTGCTCTCTCTCTCTCATTTTTACGAGTATTTTTTGTATATATAAATGTCGGTGGGGTTATAATTATTTACTCGGTGTTATAACTCCCCTACTATGTTAGGTATCGCTTTGGTTGAAAATATTTTGCTGCTTTTTCCTCAGTTATCTCCCTTGCTTTAATGGTGAATTTCATATTCCTGAATCTGCAATTGAGAAAAATAACTGGAAAAAGCATATAAAAACTTTTTGTAATAAAAATTTAAATGAACCGTTATAATCGTATAGTGATTTTTCTTTTATGTTATTATTGTACAATCTATCGGCTTTATATTGATATTGCAAATTTTATTTGAGAAGAGACTGTTTTTAAAGATTTAGACTGTGACGTGCAGAGATTTGGTGATGGCTAAAACTCCTTTGATTAACTAAACTGATTGTTTACAAAAATAGTCCAGCAT